CCTGGAAGGCGGCTGTAGGCTGAACCCGGACACCGGGCCCCTGCCCTGGAAGGCGGCTATGTGCTGAACACGGACACCGGGCCCCTGCCCTGGAAGGCGGCTGTAGGCTGAACACGGACACCGGGCCTCTGCCCTGGAAGGCGGCTGTAGGCTGAACACGGACACCGGGCCTCTGCCCTGGAAGGCGGCTGTAGGCTGAACACGGACACGCATGGAGACCGGAGTAACTTCAGCACCAAGGACAGCAGCTCCTTCCTGCTAGCCTGTCCTTACGCAGCAGGATTACACAGTGCTGTCTGCAGGGGGCGCTACATCGAGGCAGGAAAATAGTACAGCATGAATGAAGAATAATGGGAAAGAGGATGAATGAATGAAGCTGAGGCGTCCTGGAAAGAGGACGGGGTACAAAAGGGCAGTGGAATGGCCCTAGAGACACGGGCGATGCGGGAAAGTTAAGTCTGAATATCCCACCTATCGTTCCTTCCATCTTGCATGCAACTTTTCCAGCAAAAGGTCACCTGAAACTTAGGCTAGAATAATGACATTTTATATGATTTTATTTGTGATTAACCTGAGGTGGTCATTTTTCCCCATATCAAGGTTTCAAAAAAGGCCCCCTAGAGGTTAAAGGTGACTTCCCATCTTCCCATGTTGCTTGACTGCTTAAATTGCTTTTGCAAGTTAAATATGGCCTTCTGGATCTTTCCTGAGGAAGCCTGCCCCGTCTTCCGGGTCCACGTCACACCTTCAGTCACTCTACGTTTCCCAGTGGTAACGGCTTTGTCACTATCTGTGATGTCTGCTGCTAAGTTCTGCTGCTCCAGACCTACTCGAAATGTCGCTAGATCCCACATCGTGCACGGCGAAGCAGCGGCACTGGGAGAGTCGGTACGATAATGGAGCGAGTCGAGCGTGAATCTGCATGCGAGAGACTTGCGGGTTCAGACTCACGTCTGCGCTGAATATCGACCGGCTCACTGTGCACATAGTGTCTGATGTAAGGGCACAAATTCCTTAAATGCATGGATCTGAAGTTATCTGCTGAAATTAGCAGCACATGATCAAGCAGAGTCAGTACAGTTTCTGTCAATATCCATGCATCAATTTTCCAAGCATTATCTGAATGAATGTCTTTATAAATTACAGTTTCCGACTGTCAGCTTTCCGAAAACGTTACCCAGCATGCCGTGCATTTACTACTAACCACAGACGGACATCGTGCCGTTACGGAAATAAAGCTTCGTTTGGGTGATGAAATTTCAGGCGTTATCCAGGCTTACCTGTGACCGGGGCCTCGATGTCCAGCATGGTCTTCTCCTGCCGCAGGATGGCGGCGCCCTCGTTGATGATGCGTAGGGCCACGGCCTCCTCCACGCGGCCCTCCTTGGTCAGGTGGGCCTTCAGCAGGTCCACACGGGGCTTCCCCTCGCTGTCGAACACCTCCTTCATGGTGAGCCGATGGCTCAGGGGGAAGGGCACAGCTGGGGGGGGGGGGGCACAATGAAAACAAGAGTGAGCCCCCGAGGAGAAAGGCAGATGTCGAGATTCATTTCTCTTACATGAAATCCCCATCACTGCAACACTTCCTACTCTGACCCGTGACAAATCCCCAAAAAACTCACAGATGGCTCAGTCGGATCTAAAAAACAGATCTCAGCTGGGGCTTGACTCAAAGTATCTCCTGACACGAAATGCCATCATTGAAGAGAGTGTCTCCCCTGAGACCCATACTGTACATCACGAGTCTTATAAATCCTCGATTGTCATGTAACTGGCTAATATCTCATCTTTGCATCTCCTTTTTTATAGTGTTTGTTTTTCCAGCAGCAAATGTGGGAGAAATTATTCTGACAGCAAAGACACTGTACCGTGATATAAATAACATCCAGAGCTTCTCCCAAGAAATAAAACAGACGGATCTGCACGATAAAACCTCCTTTGGGATAGGAATATAGACGGGATTAGAGAAGTGTGGAACGAAATATACACAGCAGAAAGGGGCCAAATAACCGAGAGACGCGCCACTCAGGCAAGGATACGGAAAGACGTGCGTATGGATGTACGGCTGCACATACACACCGACGGCCGTGTTACTGAAACGCGCGGAAGAAGATGACGTCGCCATACAAACAAGATACACATCGACGAATGTGCAGCATGCGCGCAGCGTCGCTGAGATGGAGCAGCTGAAACTGTATGGGAATCGGGCGATCCGAAAAGACGGCAGCGTCAGCAAATACTAAATAATAAATACGTGACTTGGGGGAAGGAGCGAAGCCTTACGAGGGTAATGAGGCCAGGCGCCGAATGTGATTACAGCTCCGGAGGAAGGAGCCCCTGGTGAATCGAGAGCGGTGCATCTGTGTTTCGATGTACACCGTCTTCGTGAGCGACTTCTGTAGCTACTATTACTGTATTTATGCCACGACTTTTATATACGGTGTCTATAATAACGATTAACAAAAGATTAATCCATCTTACAATAATTCGTCAAGAACTGGATCCTGGTAAGGCCTTCTAGGGTAGAGCACAGATTGGAGGTACTCATACCCAATAAGAACACAATCCCCAGCAGGGAGTGGAGGCAGGACTGAAACCTCCAACTCCAGAGACCAGAGGCAACCTTGCTACACATAATCCCCTGCACCGCCCCTATGACTAGCTATCCAATCAATCGATACATCAATCAATCTATTAACCAATAAACTGAAACAGAATCTTCCACTTAGAATTGCAATATTCAGCGGAATTTCGAGCTCAGGTTTTATTTATTTAGAAGACGGTTTTATCGAAAAACATTGTGAAAGTGAGATAGCATATTGCAAGCGTAGTCTCAACTTTATACCACACCTCAGGATCCCATTTATACTTTATGTTTCGTATAACAGGAAACTGCCTAGTGAAGGCCTAGCAGAGGCCAAACAGAGGCCTAGCGGAGGCCAAACAGAGGCCTAGCAGAGGCCAAACAGAGGCCTAGAAGAGGCCTAAAACAGAGGCCTAGAAGAGGCCTAAAACAGAGGCCTAGAAGAGGCCTAAAACAGAGGCCTAGAAGAGGCCTAAAATTGGCCTAGAAGAGGCCTAAAATTGGCCTAGCAGAGGCCAAACAGAGGCCTAAAATTGGCCTAGCGGAGGCCAGGTGGAGGCCTAGCAGGGGCCAAACAGAGGCCTAACAGAGGCCTAGCAGCGGCCTAGGGGATGGTTTTGAAACATTGGGCCTAGTGCCTTCTGATGTGCCACTCTGCTCCATGGAAAATGAAGTTCTGCAAAACAGAGTGGTCACACTTCTGGTAATAGTTTGGGTTTTGCCTAACGTGGTAATGTGTTCCGAAAGGGTGGGAAAATAACAGAACAAAACGGGTGCTCTGAGCAGACCTGATACAGACCCAACGGTTAGGCTCCGCCCACGTGGCCTCATCACCAAGGCGACTGTTAAAACAGGGAACAGCTGGCTGGCTGCATGCCGGACCCATCAGAACACCGCTAATTAGCAGCAGTTCACTGACTCATCCTCCAAGAAGCTCAGGATCCATCAAACTTTTCAGCACCACTCAGTTAATTAGATACTTAGAAAAGTTTGTTTTGATGAGTAAAGGGTCAATCAGCTGCTGTGTGCAGCGCCGTGAGATTCGTGTGCGTCAGCAAATAAAGCCTAGCTATGGTGTGTGACGGGTGCAGTTCGCTCTTTTTTATCCATCTATCTATCCGTAAGATTTACACAGATGCTTATCTAGCATTAGGAGGTGGTCTTTCCCAGCAAGAACATGCAGAACCCGAGGTGTGAGGCCCTAAACACAGTGAGAACATGCAGAACCCGAGGTGTGTGGCCCTAAACACAGTGAAAACATGCAGAACCCGAGGTGTGAGGCCCTAAACACAGTGAGAACATGCAGAACCCGAGGTGTGAGGCCCTAAACACAGTGAGAACATGCAGAACCCAAGGTGTGAGACCCTAAACATGGCAAGAACAAAACCCGAGGTGCAAAGCCCCAAACACAGCAAGAACAGAACAGATGCAAGACCAAAATGGTGAATAACCAGTAGCCCACCATTACATGGCTAAGCCAGTAATTCCACACAATATTGTTTTTATTCCGGCTTTACTAAGTGCCTCATTGTAGGTTCATAGGCAGAATGTGCCTTGTGCTTTAATCTGCACTGTATGTTTCAGAGAATCTTCTCACACTGGGCGTACCTAAATGGTGACACATTGACAGTGTATTCGCAAGATGAAAGCCTTATCACCAAGAAGACGATGTGCTTGCAATAATGGAAATAAACAAGTCAGGTTAAACCATCCAACCATCCATCCATCTTCTAGATAATCTCTCATCTAGTACTGGTTTGTCCATCCGGTTACATCACTGAAACCAGTATAACTACAGTGACCCAGTGCGTCTCTTCGAGTGATAAACACACGCAGCATCTATGGGCAATAAAACAAGGCAGCGATCCTGAATCCTCCCTGAGATGCCTTTTATGGGTACGGCGAGGAGGCCTGCGAGGAGGCCTGCGAGGAGGCCTGCCCGCGGCTCCCTTTCCATCCTCGGTCTGAATCTCGCGTAGGTCCGAAAGCACCCCGTGGAACACATTGAGGGAGGTCAGAGGCAGCCGGCGGGGGGGGCACATCTCGCTGCTTGAGTGGGCGGCTTGCGAGGACGCGACGCAGCCGCCGGGCCAGAGCGAGGTTCGGAGCAGTCCGGGTCTCTCCCAGGAGGCCAGCGAGAACTTCCTGAGAGTGAGAAAGCTGAGCTAAAACCTGAGGCAGCTACGAAAGGTGGCGAACAGCCCCCCCACTTCACTTAGTGAAACTCACCGGGTTCTTCTAAGGCTCCTAAACAGCCGCCCAGTCGTGAGGCACTGGGATCCACGGGAACGCCTGGGGATCGTGTCCTTCCTTTTCCCTAGCAACCGCTTGACAACCACTGTTTACTTTTTTTAGCTCACGGCACTAAATGGACCCAGGGGTATTAGAGCTGTTTTTTACGGTTCCCGGCAAGACGCCACTTTGAAACTGACGCTGTGAAACAAGCCAGTAATATTTGTTTGGCTAGACTGCCAACCAGTAATAGATAAAAAATAACTTTTAATTTTGGCTGCAAGAAAACTGTGGAGATGTTTTCTGTCATTAAAGAATACTCCAGTTGAATGAATGCTGTCACTAATGTACATAATCTCATCCATCCTGGTGAGGAGGGAGTGAGGTGTCGGGTTTCACAGGCTGTCTGGCTGTCATGGTGAATCCCGACGATCCCTGTGTTTGGACTAAACATTCATCCTGAGTAGACTTTCCCGCAGCAACTGGACCAAAGAGGGCATTGACCCTTAACCCGGTCCTGTAACTCAACAAGAATAGTAATTGTGTCCGTTTGTTTCAGCCGGAGCAGAAGGATTAGCTTTTCTTTCGATCAATAAACAGGCAATTGAGGTGGTTTGCTGTCTGCTCCCCGGCAGGTGGACATCGCTGTCCCCAGCAGACATTCCTGTTAATCACAGGGACTTTTCAGGCCGGTAAGTAACTCCATCCGTCCCGCCTCAACATCAGCACTCCTAGAGCTTAAGCGTCGATTCCCTCCGAGCGTGTGCATTAGCCGCAGGGAAGCGAACGGTACACAGCAGCAGCAAGAAGCACTATAATGCCTCTGTTTTGCTTCACTTTCTTTGTTTTGGATCCCTGTGACGTTGCTAGAAATCAAGATGCAGGGAGTATAACAACACAGACACATACGCTGCCCTCCGATGGCTTTCCATCAACGGGGCGGCACGTGCCCCTGCCTTGAGTGTGGTTTTCCAGCTTACTGATACTGGAATATTGTAGGCAACAGCCTAACGCAGAGCCTAAGCACAGCCCTGTTATCGCACATGACCACAGGGGGGCGACATAGAGCAAACCTCCAAACGGAGGTTATACGCAGACTGTGACAGATTTCCCAGAATCCCTTTCTGCAATCTGTTGTTTCCTATAGATTGAGCTACATCACTGCGTGGGATGGCTGCTTTGCCCCCTCCCGAGAAGAACCACCATGCACCCTCTTGTCTCAGGCCAGGCTGTCAACAAATAAGGGTCTCATGCAGAGAGCCCTCAGTGGACTCGCCTCCCACACATAGGTTCTCATCCTACTTCTGACAGTCGCGGGCACTTCCTCCTGAGCGGCAGCTGGCCGCAAGGCCACCCTCCCCCCCAGGTTCCCGAGCGAGGATCCAAGAAGCCCAACACTACGTCTCGCTTTTGTTGGCCACGTTCCAGTCAGGTGACTAGCCTACGTATCTGTCAGCCACACAGTAATCCGTCCCGGAATTTGTCACACAATTGATCAAGAAAGCTAACGCTAACTGCTAACCGCAGGAGGTCATGGCTATGATGCAACGAACTGAAATGCGAGGCGCATTAGCTAAAGCAGCAAGCCCGCACACCTGTGCAGATACATCGCAGCCGGAGCTGACCGCAGACAAAATCGCAGACAGAAACGCAGACAAAACCGAT